GTCAGATTACTGGTATTTATTTTTTATTTTGGCTTTAAATGCCATAAAATTTTTTATCATTGTGGATTACAATTATTTATTTAAACTAAAAATTCATATAAAGATGTTATAAGCACCAAGACTTATCGTAACCAATTATGGCCTTTTTTATTTTCTGATTAATAATATCTCAAAAAGAAATTCTTACCTCAACCGCGTCTTCTTTGGTCGTTTCATAAACAAGATCGCTGGCAGATATTTAAGGAAGATCTTGCGTATGAGCTGAGGCATTCTGTGGGTCCTTGGCCCGCGGAAGTTCCAATTAATGATGATCACAGTTACGAGGATACTGACAGTATTCATAATAAAAGTGAAAAGCAGATATTTGGCTATCAATGGCAGCACTAGCGAAGTCGGTGGTAAAATTTTGCTGACTAACAGGAGGAACACGACCAATGATAGAAGAATACTAATGCCCAGAGTGACTTTCTCACCAGCCTCCGCCGGAAGGTAGAAAACGAGTACGCAGAGAAAAGAGATCAGAACTGTCGGCAGTATCAAGTTCACTGTGTAGAAGAGAGTCTTCCTGCAGAAACAATACGAATGTTTATGTCACTTATTATCAGTAACGTAGGATTATTATGTAATTACAGTTTTGCATTATAATTATGAAATACTAATTATGAAATAAACAGAAGCTGTATCAATTCCAAAATTGACAGAGATTAGGAATAAAATACTCACCTGCGGATAATTATATAGAAAGTGATGTCTGTCTCTGTGGGAAAATCACCCTTATAAACATTGAGATATGCCGGCACGTTAATAATATCCCACGTGCCGCTCTTCCAATAGTCGGATAGATCGACGAAATTCTTATCATTGTAGAGTGCGAGAGAGACCTGGTCACCATTGAAGGTCCATGAACCGAATTTCATAATGCATGTTTGCTGATCGAAGGGGAAATATGTTACATCGATTGTACATGAGCTCTGATAAATTGCTGGCGGTACCCAGAGCACCTCGCCGTTCGGATATATCAGTACGTTGCTCTTATAACGAACTTCATAGTTACCGTCAGCGCTATAAACGAAGAAAATATAATTTTTATAAATATAATTATTAAAAATATAAATGTAAATTAAAAATTATTAAAAAAGAAGAAAAATTTTAACTCTTAGTCGCTGATACATCTTTAACC